ATCCTTAATGTGATGATAAAAGTAAAATTTAATGAATAATTGTTAATAAAAAAGTATAATTGTGATATAAACGATAAAAATTAATAAGAATAAAAGTAATTTTTATTAGAATATAGAAAGAGAGTATTAAAAATATACTAAGGGATAATCTTGAAAATCCTAAATGTAGTTTTAGATCATCATACATTGATAGAGATGTTCTATGACTTCTATCGTAGTCTTGGGGTCCACTTGGAAAACATTCACCATCTCACACTTTTTATAAATTTGGAAGTAATTTTTTCTATAAAAAACTTAATTCTTTTATGATATCAATTCACAATGGTCCACAAAATAATCATGAATCTTATAAGTACGTAAGAATTTGACACATTGACAGTATATTTGCTTATGACTTTATACATAATTATAAATGTTGATATAGTTGAAACGTTAAATGACCATAATAAAATTAAAGCAAAAAATGAAATGAAAAACTGGTTAAACTAGGAGTTAGCATTTGTTGGTAAGTAAGCATATATCTATCTACTTGGTACGGTAATAGTTAAAAGATGTTATTTCTACTTTCTTGTGGGAGCCATCTTGTTCATTTTGGTGTCTCATCAGATCTCTCTTTTACTATGTTGAATTGTACTCCCATACTCCTACCTTCAAGCATCTTCACTTTGTCCAGCAAATCTTGTATGGTTTCTGAAGCATCCTGAATAATCATAGAAAAAAAGTTGTAAAAAGAACAAAATTATTCATTTGGCTTGGCTTTTAAAAATACTAATTCTACCAATTTTGTAGTTTCTGATCTCAGAATTAGCAAAGTATTGTTTTTGTTATAGATTTTGGCTCCGTTACGTTTGACATCAGCATTATGGTTTAGCGTTAGCGTTTCAGAATTTATCCACAATTATTAAAATTTTATCTGAAACGCTAACGCTAATCGAAAACGTTGTTCTTAAATGAGCCCTTTAAAAATGACCATTTTTTATCAGAAAAGAAAGACAAATTTATAATAGTGCCTATAACATAGAATAAGAGCATATATTGGGGGTGCCAATTACCTTTAGTCTGCTCCTTAGTCTCTCCTCCTCTTCCTCTTTTCTAACCAGTTCTTCAGCAAAACCGTAAGCTAATTCCCTGTCCTTATCGATGAACCCAGACGTTTTCCCTGCTGTAAGAATCTGAAAACAGAGCATCATGAATGACATTAAAGCCCAGTTACAACATGACTTAGAATCCAGTCTCTGTTAATGCATGTTCTTTTTATCATGAACTCTTCATGGTAGATCTCTCTGTCCAAAACTCAAAACATATAAATAAAATTGGAGTGAAAAAAAAAACCATGTGAAGCACACCTTGTTTTCTAGTATCAAATTTCGGTCCCTTTCAAACTGCAAATCATTCAAAGCTGCCTCCAGGCTGGGAAGAACAAAAACAGGAAAAAAAGAACAATAAAATTGGGGGCTTAAGCAGGGTACAAACAACTACTCCTATAAAGATAATTAGATAATATTCACCTTTTCTTGAGTTCAAAGTTCTCCTCCTTCATCTTATGTATCATCATGGAGTGGTGGGTGCAATTTATATCTTGTTCATCTCCACTGAAATTTCTCAACTGTCCAAAAGAGACAACAGGATATGAATACAAAACCTATAGCCAAAATTCTGATGATTTTGGGCCAGTTCTCATCTTACAAATATTGGGAGTGTTTGGCCAAAAACATACTCCAACTAGTTTACAAATAGCTTGTTTTTCAAGTTTTTTTGGAGACAACTTTTTCAATCTGCACCTTTTTACCTTGATTTATTAATAACATAGTACATAAACATCTAATAGCTAAATGTTGGTTGCCTAGCAGAACCATCATGAGGATTTGAGGATCTATCACAGAAAATCATTTATGTGGGCATGCTTTAAGGAAATATCAGGAAAGGGGAGATGTGAATAAAAAGAACTCACATTTAAAGCTAAGCATCCAGCCGTTCTACCTTGCCTCTTGTTACATTCTTTGATTAATGGTGCTTGAAATGGATTTGTTACGGTCCCATACTGGACCGGGCCAATGTTCTCATACCTTGTATCTGATCCTAGCTCAAGCTTTACATTGTTTATGGAAATAGATTTATCGGAATAATGGTCATTCGAGATAAATCTCGAAGAAGACTTGCTTCTAACAGAGGGAGAGATACTTTTCTTGTCACGCCTCTTAGCATAGCCAATCAGATGACAGTTTGTCACCCTGTAAATATTATGGACGGACATATTCAGTTGAATCTTAAGTGTAACACAAGGCATTGAAATATTGAGATAAGAAGATATTGGATTTCAACGCACCAATATTCCTTCTGCATGGATTGCAAGCGGTTTTCAAGTCTTGCAAGAACAATGGTGCGCTCAAATCCTTGTTTATCATGGGCTGGCTCTATGAAATTAGCTTCTAAGACACCTGTGGACAAGCAAAACATTAAGCCACAATTTCATTCACATGACAGGTAAGAAAACAAAATGCAGAGAAGCAATACCTATCACGCCACGGCCATCACTTCCTGCAGCATTCCAGACCCTCCAAAATGGCTGCCATTCAAATACTCATCTCAGGGAATTTTGTTCGGTAAACATTGAGGAAAGATTCCAAGTAAAAGCAAAGGACAAAAGAGACCTTGATAAGCCGATTCTTATGGTAGACGTTGAAACCTTGGATATCAATGTGATATTTTGCATCTTTGGCAAAACCGATATTCACCAATGCGTACAGCTGATTAAAAGAACATGTAGTTATAACACAGAACTTAATTAATGTTATCAAATGCCCAAAAAAAAGGGGGGGGGGGAGAGCAATAGTTTAAAACCCTTACATTTGGGTTCTTATGAGCATGCTCACCAGCAATAGGCTGGGGTCTATAAGTTATCTCTTTTGAAAGCATCATATCATTAACTAAATTATGATGCTCAACATCCTCCCCTCGTAAAATGATTCGAAAGCCAGATGGTAGCTTTAAATACAAAATTGATGCGTAACTCTGCAAAAAAATGAGTGTAAAATTTGGTTGTTTTGGATCAGATAATGCTGCTGCAAAATATTATTAATACAAGTACTTCATATGAATAACAAATTTGCAACAAGATAAAGTGCAAGTAGCACTATGCGTACTCTTAATGAATGTTGGTAAGTCAGAAAATGCGTAGAGTCTGGGTAAGTCTTTGCCATCGCAACCTTCTTCTCATCCCGATTAACACCCCGTATTTGAATGTCCTGAATGAAGATAACATGGATTGCAAAATTGAGGAAACAAAACATAGACAATGGGTAGTGGTGGTGATAGAGAGGGGGCTCAGGGGAGTGAACAGCAGATTAGTGTGGGAACAATAAATTACATGTTGATCTGTGTCAAAATCAAGCTCTGGTGATCCTTCATCATCCTCCCACAGATTGTAAATAATAATACGAGTGCCTTGATCATTCAAGAAATCAAACTGCAAAATCACAAAATTAAATACTCCGTAGAAGTTAAATTAGCAAAGATGAAAACTGAAAGTAATTGTTAACTGTAAAAAGATTAATCCAAGGCTAGGGAAAAGAAGAGCATCGAATTATAACATACCTGCTGTAAGAGATCATCTTCACTTAAATATGGAGACCACTGCATTATAGTCTCTAAATTTCTGTTCCAGTCATTGACAGAAGATCTAGTCATCATATCCCAAGATTCTCCTCTTTTTTCAAAATCAATCTTCACTAACAATAAAATTGAGATGTTAGTGTTCCCTATGTAGTGTACTTAATATGCTGTGAAATTGAGATACTATAAAATAGAAAACTATCATACCATGGGAACCACGATATCTTCTTTTCCTGTTCCCCTTAAAAATGAGTAGGATAGCATTCCAATACTTTGCGTAGGACTAATAAAAAAAAGTCACTTAGCAAAGCCTTTAACAAATCTTACAGACTTAATATGGTCCAAAAGTTACAAAAGCAGTCCTATGAAAAATACCTCCTCCCATCTCTAGCCTGGCAACGAGAGAATACAATCACATCTGCTCCAAGCCTCATACAACTTGTCTTAAAACCGTTTCCATCTGTTATGAGTCATACAACAAACAAATCAAGGAAGATTTGAATAACTCTAATACATAGATTAAAGTGTCCAAAAATTATTTGTTGCAGGGTAAAACACTAAAACCAAAAAAACATGAAAATGATTTTGGTGTTTTGATTAAATTAGAAAACTCACATTGCCCTATGGTATTCGCCATTTTGCTTTTTGCAGAATACCCAAGAGACATGCATTGTCGCATTTTATCAGGAGTCATTCCCCCACCATTATCTGAAGGCACAGTAAAAATTAATACAGGGATGAGTTCCACTATACAAAATTATACTCCGTACTCTGTATTGACGGAGAATACTCTATTATACTCCGTATGAAGAAGACGCAATTATTGAGCGCTTACAAATAGAAGAAAGATGTAAGTGTACCATACCTTCAACAAGTAAGATCCTACTGTTGTCTTTATTGCTATTCAGCACATCTACATTGACATAGGTAGCTCCATTGCAAACCTGCAGGATGTACACGCAATACAAAAATCAAAATAAGAGGGAACAAATGGAAGAGGACAAAAGCACTGTTCAAGACTAGTAAAACTATTCCCCCTGCATGTTTTCCTTTTTAAGATGTTGCAAAAAAAAATCTTCCATGTTCCTTTATAAAGAAATAATTGTGTAACTCAAGTCATTTTTCTGCTATTAATTACTTGCAATTTTTTTCTGCTATCCATAAACGTGAGTAAAAAAGTTAATTAAAGAAAATCATAGGATAACAAATGGTGCCACAGATACCTCATCTAAAGCATTATCTAAAAGCTCTGCAAAAGCTGAATTTTAAACAACAAAAAAAGGATTAAGAACGATAAAAATTAACAAATTAACAAAAGAGAGCTTCAATTCAGTTCTTCATAAAACAAAAATATAAGCCATATATGCTACTACGTTAGTACCTCCCAGAGCCCACTTGTGACTCGTGGCATTCGAATGCAGGAATTTAGGATGAACTCTGACATGATCCATGGCAACTACAATACACAATTCAGTCATCAATAACAATGAAAATATAAAATAAATAAAAATTCAATGGACAAAGAAACACAAACCATAATGCGAGGGAGAAGAAGTCGATTGAACAGTTCCCTCATAATCCCCTGCTTTCCAGAACTGCTTACACCTCTGGAACGCCGGAACACAAGCTTCCCCCTCCGGCTTAACAACTACAGGCAACTGCTGGTTCCCCGATTCCACACCCGCCGGAGTTGAAGGCGGCAAAGCCCGTATCCGAGAATTGAAACAAGCGCGCTCTTCCGGCGGAAGAGGATCCAGGAATCCCAAAGGCACTGCGGATTCCACTGCAGCTCTGGCCTTCTTCCTACAGGGACCCGACGTTCCGTCCATATCTTCCCAGTAATCTTCGTGGTCATCAAATCCGTCGTATAACGAACCGCCGTCAGTTATGAAAAGCCCGTGGCTGTCGGTGATTCCCGGTACGATCGCGGCTTCCTCCTCCGCCGCCGCCGCTTCTGCTTTGACGACAGCGGGTTCCATGGCGGGAGTGAGTACGGAGACGAAAGCGAACTAGGGTTTTTGGGAGAGTATAAGCCGCAGAGAAGAAGACGAGGGAAACGGGAAAACTGAATTTGGAAGAGTTTCCTAATGGATTTATACTTGTCGATGTTTTCCCACCCGCTGGAGGAAAATTGTACGTGTGGAACGTGGGCGCAGGGAATGTAGGAAAATATTTCGCGGAATCCCAACGGTTTGTTATTCCTTTGAGGGTGATTTAATGAGGCCCACACCCTCCACGTCTTTTAACCTGTTTTTACTTTTTAGTAAAGTGCCAAGAAATCTTGGAGTCAAACTTTTTTTCCAACTAAATTGAACCCAAAAACTAAAATACAAATAAAATATTCTCCGTATAAGTTTATTTTTAATCTAATTTAGATATTAAATTGCATATACACTGTCAATTAATTTTTTAATCTAATTTATTTTTAAATTTAAGTTCGAAAACTAAAATTAATATTTATTGTAACGTCATTCACAAGTCGTAGATTGTATTCAAAATTTTAATCTTACATGTTGGTCCCGTCTGAATTCAAGAAGCTCTCACTTTCCATTCACCACGTTTTGTATACAAGACATCATCCTACGTAGCTCTTTAAGTCACTCAATATTACTCATATAACACTCCTTAATCTTTTATACGAATTTAACTTTTTAGTGTCAATATCTTCCAAGCATACCCTCTACCTTTTATTATAATCTACTATTTTTAATTATTTTTAATTATTTAATTAAGTTTAGTTTATTCACGTAGTCACTCCTCCTCATACGTGCGGCTCCTCCTCATTCGTGCGTCTCATACGTACTAGAACATTATCCTCCGCCGTTTACCATATTAAATGCCCATGTTTGGCCTATGTATTTTGGTGTAATTGATTATTCAGAAAACCAGTAATGCATTTTTGGGTAGTGTGGAATTCGTACATGAATACAGTAATACACTTTTTTTTGCAATGTGGAATTCATACATGAAAATAGTGTGGAATTCATACATAAAAAGAGCTATAAATTTTTTGGACAGGGTGAAATTCATACATGAAAATAGTCATACACTTTTTGGCAGTGTAGAATTTATACATGAAAACATACCACATAAATCAATGGACATTACACTCTAACATGAAATTAAAGAATAAAATAATATACTTACACACTGCCGTAAGATATAACAACATATATTCATTCTCCATTGCCACATTAAATACTCACATATAAAAGACCACACTGCTACTATTTAGTCACAAGTGCATAACCACACTTCCCAAAACAATCATATTTTTTGACAGTGTGTAATGAATATTTGCTGTTTAATGAAAAGACAAAATTGAATCACAAGTACAAAACATATAGCACTGCTATTAAGAGTTTTTTAAGGCTCTAAGAGTGCTATTTTAGTTTTTCTCCATTTGTATACTTCACAACAACCCTATTAGAGCCTATTCTTTAGGGCTTGAACTTTTAACTTCCAGTTCCATCCAGTTCTTTCCAGTTTTTTCTAGTTCTTTCCCATTTCTTTCAGTTTCTTGCACTTCTTCCAGTTTCTTCCAGTTTTTTTTACAATTTTTTCCAGTTTCTTCCAGTTTCTTCCAACTATTTTTATTTTCTTCAAACTCTTTCTACTTCCCGACCAATTATTCTATAAATGAATTATTATTATTATTATTATTATTACTATTATTATTATTATTTCATTTTTTATCTCACTATTTTTATTATTCACACTAATTATTATTTTTTCTTCAACTTTTCAATATGAATATTTCCATTTTTTGTATATTAATCTACAAGATAAAATAGGAAAACATCAATATTTAAACTATTTGAAAAAACTATGGATAAAATAGTTATATAAAATGTTTTTTAATCTAAATTTATATAAGGAAAATATAAATATTTTAATCTAAAATATAATAATGGAATGGGGTGGAGAGTACTACATTATGAAAACCAAGAGAGAACTACATATTGAAAAGAAAAAACAATCCAAAAAGTGTAAAAAACAAATTCAGATAACAAATAATATTACTAATATTTAAAATACAACTAACAAAAAAGTTATAGTTTCATTTATTTGATCTACTTTTTATTGTCTATATCTAAAATATTGTGCATATGAATGTAAATATTCCGTATTTAGTATCTTCAAATAAATCCGATTAGAGTCCCATTGCATCTTTAGTTTGTTCATCAAACAACATCACCTTGGGCCTATCTTCCATTGTTCGTTGCATCGGTAGAAGTAAAACATAAAAAATGTAAAAAAAAAAATTATGTCTTTATTTTAAAAGTAGGGTTATAATGAAAAAAATCAATCATTAAAGAAAAAATATATTTGATTACATTATGGGAATATTTAAAACAAACTCTTTTAATATATAAAGTATAATTACAAATATAGTATTTTATGATAAACATTGCATAAATAAAGTAACACGCAATGTAGCCACAGTAACTTTTAAATATTTAGCATTTTGATATTTATGCTAATTTTATATTCTAATTATTTTTTTTGCAAAAGTAATTTTTTTTGTGTATGAAAAATGACAATATTTCTTTTTATCTTAAAAGCATTCATTAAGATAATGTGGTGACAACAACAACAATAACAACAACAACAACAACAACATTAATAATTTATAGCAACAAGAATTAAAATGAGAATAATATAAAAATACACAAAAAAATAAATTTTTTTAGATTTTCTAATTTTTTCCAGTTTCTTCCAGTTCCTTCTTCTTTCTTTTAGTTTCTTCCAGTTCGTTTAGTTCTTTCCAATATTTTCCAATTTCTTCCTGTTCCTTCCAACATCCAGCTCTTTTTTCCAGTCCTAAAGAACAGGCTTTTCGGAACATTCTTTTCAAAATGCAACTGAATGCCATGCCTTACCGAGTGAGTAGTCAAGCTTAAGTATGATCATCCTGAACTCACAAATGTTTTTGAACTTCAACTTGGGGTCTAATATAAGATTTTCCATCTCTGCATCAGGCCTGTAGTCAGGAGCATTTCGTTCCCAAGTTATCCAAGTCCTCGCCTTCTTCATCAGAAAACCAAGAATCATTCAATGTGGCATTTTTCTGGGTGACATGTTTCTTTTAGTGTAGTGGATGCAACAATTGATATTCTCTCATCTTCATTTCCACTAATTTAGCCTTATTATTCTTTTTTAGTTGGCATTTCAACGAAAATATATTTCTCAAGATAACCTTAACATCTTCAAAGAAAAATTTAAGGGTATCTTCAAGCTCCTTTGCTTCAAGAACTTGATCAAAACGAACATCATATCTATTATCTTCATTACACTCACCAACTTTTTCAACCCCCATTTCATCCCCATCACTTTCATTGTCTTCATTGAAAAGACCAAAGTCTTGAATCTCAGCACCCCCCATAAAATATTACATACAAAAGCACTCATCAACATAAACAAAAAATAATAATCTAAAAAAAAAAGTTATCGAATAAATCTTGATTTCAAAACACCCTAATTAAAAACCTTAATGTTACTATGTAAAAAGGGATGCGATGAACACAAACTAAACCCAATTTATGGATTAAAGTACATTTTAATAGAAAAAAAGAAATCAAATCACCCTAATTATAAAACCCTAATGTTACTATAAAAAATTGGGCTACGATGAACACAAATTAAATTCAACCTGTGGATTAACGCACAATGCGATAGAAATAAAGAAAGTATGAAGAAATAAATTAGAAAGAAACAAAGAAAATCTAAGATAAGAGAAATTGAGAAAATATAACTTTGGTCTTGTTTGAGAACAACGTTTTCGATTAGATTTAACATTTTAGATAATTTTTTAATGTTGTAGATTAATTTTGAAAACGCTAGCGCTAAAGGTTAACGTCGGATAGCGTTTTCAAAACATTAACAGTAACCTCTAACGTTGATGACAAACGAGACCTTTGTCAAGGGAGAGCGCGAACGAATGCCGCAAGAAGTCAAATTTGGATGGAGTCTGTGTAATAGCACATAGTCCGTGTAATATCGGATAAGGTTGCGTTCCGTTCAACTTATTTTTTCTATTCATTACTTATTCTTATTAAAATCAGTTTACATCAAATTATATTTCATCAGATCAGATCCAATCAGATCAGATTAGACTAGATCTAATTAGGTATAATCAGATCAGATTTAAACAGAATCAATAATAATAATATTATTATTAATTTATTATTATTATTATTATTATTATTATTATTATGATTACTCTTACTATTATTATTATAATTATTATATTGTGATTACAATTATTTTTACTATTGTTCTTATTATTATTACTATTAATATTAATATTAGTATTACTATCATGATTACTATTACTATTATTATTATAAATACTAATATTATTACTATTGTTACTATTATTACTATTAGTATTATGATTCTGATTATAGTCACTATTACTATCGTTATTATTATTTTAGATTAAATTCAATCATATCAAATTAGATTCAATGTGATTATAACTTAAAAAATCAAATAAACATAACCCAACATAAGAGTTTAGTTCGGTTAAATTAAAAAAGATTGAAAAATGCTAGGGGTACACTAAAAGTGTACCCCATTTGTCCCCCACTCCCTCCATTACTACAAAAATGGACAAGAAACTAAAAAAAATTAAATGAATAAAAATGGAGTAAAAATGAGTGGTGGAGAAAAGGGTGGGAGACAAATGGGGTACAACTTTAGTGTACCCCTAGCATAGTTCAAAAAGATTTGTGCAGGCTAAAGAGGCGTGAACTCTTTTTTTAAAAGAGTGGGGATTGGCGTACGTTTTGAAACTTAACATTTAGAAAACCACATACTAGATGGTGTAATTGCAATAATCTCAATCTTTTACTCGTCTTTGAAACTTCAAAAAAGAACGAAGGTTGTACGTACACCATCGCATGCCCCAACGCCCGGAAAAAGAGCGAAGAAACCCCATCCCTCTTTCCCTCAACCCTAGCATAGATTTTGAAACCTGAGATTCGCCATTTCCGTCCCTCTTCTCTTCGAGACGCGTAAGGGCAACCCGCAGGTGCTTTAGACGATATACAACTCGTATCTGTAGATTTTTGCCATGTCGGAGGATGACAAGCTGTTGAAGGAGGCGAAGAAGCTTCCGTGGGATGAGCGGTTGCTGCACAAGAATTGGAAGGTGCGGATTGACGCCAACGCCGACCTGGCTACGGTGTTTGATTCAATCGCCGATCCTAAGGACCACCGTTTCCGTGAAATTGGTGAGTTTAGGGTTGCAATTCCCTTAGATCTTTTTTTCCTTTTACCCAGGAGTTGTGTATCTTCCAATTATTGGGTGCAATGTGGTTGCGTTTGCTGTTCGCTTGATATTAGTTTTCAAAAAATGTCCGATCGTTTCAATTGTAGGACATTTGTTTAAGAAGACGGTGTCTGATTCAAATGCACCTGTTCAAGAGAAGGCACTTGATGCGCTAGTTTCTTATTTAAAAGCAGCTGATGCCGATGCCGGAAGGTTATTGATGAATTTATTTATCAATGTTACAGGGATGCTATGCCAGATCTGGTTAATCTTTGTCAGATCTGCCCAAGACAAGGTGCTAGAACATGATGCTATGCCCACGACAGCTTGCTCTGGCCCTTCTGAAGAATCCGCTGCTGACAGGATGTAACTACTTTGAACATTTATCTCTATTTTGTTGAAATCAATATTGATCTCAGTTATTGTGGGTTGGTCCAAACTCCAATGTAGAGAAATGGTTCTTAAAGCTATTATAGGAAACATGGTGTGTGATATTATATTTTACTGACCTGAATTCTTCTATTTTCTGTCAGCCCCACACGAAATAGATGAATATGAACTTGTTGATCCTGTTGATATTTTAACTCCTCTCGGAAACTGGTTTTTGGGATGGAGTGGTATGTTCACTATTGCATTTTTTTGTGCTTTTGAGCAACTGATGAATGTCTGTTACTTGGTCAACTAAATCATTCTTTTTTTTTGTCTTGTATTCCTCCTTTATTTTACTTGTTTTTTGATTTCAGAAAGCTGCAAAGTGGTCAGAACGAAAGGATGCTGTTGAAGAGTTAACAAAGCTTGCATCGACAAAGAGAATATCACCTGGAGATTTTTCTGAAATTTGCCGCACATTGAAGAAGGCATGTTAATTGATTGTTCATTTCTCATCTGAACAATTCCAAATGGCATATACTTTTTAAAATTCTGATGATTATAGTTTATGATAAGCGTTTGAAGTGTTTTTGGCGCAACACCGTGCTTATTTTACTTGTATAATTTACATTTTTGTTTCTATTCGTTGCATTGTTGCTGATTCATTACATTGTAGGTCATCACTGATGTGTACATTGCTGTAGCTGTTGAAGCCATACAAGCAATTGGGAATCTTGCTAGGGGACTAAGAACCCATTTTTCAGGGAGCTCACGGCTCCTACTACCTGTTTTACTGGCAAGTTTTGAAATTTTAATTTTAAAATTAATTAATCATATATCAAAATGCATGTTTGGATGTGTAGTTTTATGCCTCCACTGCATTTTTCATTTCAAAGGAGCGCTGATCATGTTTCCTTTACCTTTAATTTGCATGAGTTTAGGCTAAGTTTATTCTTTGTTTTTATTGTAATTTGTACCCTTCTTCTGTCACCTTAAGTTATTGTCTTTCATTCTTACTTTCTTATATTTTGCTTTAAATTTTTTTAAGTGCTATTAATATGGTCTAATTCTATTTCACTCCCAAGCCAGTTATCCTTGCATTCTTTTTGTGTTCCAGAGATGTTTTTTTAAACCTTTTTTTGTTGAGCCATATATATTTTTAAGGTCACTTTTAAATACTTTTTGGAGAAGTTTAGAATTATATTTTGAAAAGCCTTATAAAGAATAAAAAGGAAAGCCACAAGCATTTGATATTCTCTTCATTGCTAAATAAACTTCATTCTCACTATTCACATAGTCAAACTATGTTGTCTTTCTTTATATTTGTGTTAATCCCTTGTTATGATAAAAAAGTTGTCATTGTTGGTATTGTAGAGCTTTTGATGCAGTTTTTAGATATATAAATATTTTTCAACTTTACACCAAGACTTAAATAAATTGAATTCAAAATAAATTTCTTTAAAAATTCTAAACCAAAATGTAAAGTTTATTAAAGGACGGAGGGAGTATCTTGCTTGGGTTTATGTGATGTAGACTTGCAGTTGCGAGAACATTATTTGGGTCTTTGACTATCCCTTAAATAAAATGTGTACCACACAATAAATAACATTAGGGTGATTACTTTATTTTTCTCTTAGAAGTTAAAACTAATTGACCAAATTTAAATGGTACTCCGTATATGATACTCCATTCCTAAATACTGTTCATGATTCAATTCATGATTTTTGATTGAAGTCGTTTGCAATTTGATTTATCTACTCCTTTTGTCCTTGTTAGTTCTTCTCATACAATATTCACACGGTCAATTTTTATTCACTTTGTTGGATTCTTTTCACTTATTTCATAATATAGTATACTAATATAGTCATGTCTTAACCTCTATCCATTTTTATGTTCTTCATTCACTCACTGTCTACTCCATCTCTATCCGTTCTTAAATTTTTTCTTTCTTCTTCTCAGTCTCTATCTATACCCTGCCACTGCGCTCAGTGACAAGGAAGTGGTAAATCAAAACAAATATAGATTCAAGATGAAAAGAAAAGGCTATGAAGAAATTGAAAATAAAAATCTATGGAGATCTGAGTTGAAGAGAAAAAGACAAAAAAATTGAAAAACAAATCTATTGTTCTAATTCAATTTTCGTCACCCCTCGTCAACTGTCGTTTCCCACCGTCAACAACCATAAGTACACTTCTCGAACCCATCAAGTGTCTTCCACCCCCCCAAACTGTACCGGTTAAGGTTTGGAATCTCTTACATTTCAGGTAGAAGGTGATCTAATATACAGAGAGGGAGAAGGCGGAGAAGATGATGGATGAGTGAGAGCAACTCTGATTTGCAGTGAGGGAGAAGACGGAAAAGATGAGGGATGAGTGAGAGCGGCTGTGGATGGTAGTGGGAAGGCCAAATTAAAGACGTAATCAATGAGGGGGGTTGGGGATAGATGGGTTGACGTAATTATGTTGTGTTGGATAGAAATAAAAGTGAAGGGTAAAGTAGTCATTTGAAGTGGAAAGAGTTACTAAATTAGGGAAGTGGAAAGATTCAATAGGGATGACCCAAAATGGAAAGTGTAAAGATTCAAATGGGTCGGAGGGAGTATTATTTTTGAAAATATTATATATACAATTTAAAACTTTATGATTGAGGCTTACGCCTCAAAACGCCTTGAGGCTTACGCAATACGCCCTGACATAAAAACGCCTCAAAACTGCAATATGCAGTTTCAAACATTGTCCGGGAGTATTAGTGTGAATTTTTCCAAACAAGATGTGCTTGACTATTTGTTCTATCAAATGATCCAAGAAAAAATGTGAAAAGAAAATATGGTTGTACCATTAATGGGGACAGGGAGTAAACTATATGCAATAATATTGATTCCGCAACTATTCTGCAATGCTAGCCATGACACAAACTTCTTACATCAAAGAGAAACGGTTATTCATGGTGTGTTATTCTACTAAATTAGTATAAGATGCCATTGTATTCAAATATTAAATCTAGTTATCTAGACTTTAGTTGGTTCTAGTTGCTAGATTCTAGAATTTCTCAAAATTAGAACAATCTCTAGACTCCAGTATCCAGTTTCCATCACCTTAGTTAAGGCATAAGGGACGTGCTTCAAGCCAATCATGTGTCTCCAAAGTTGGTGTCCTTGTAACTATAAAAGGTATTCTAAAAAATAAAAGAAGCTTTCTACTTATTTGTTTACATTGACCAAAATGCCCTAGTAAAAGCTAACCTCCCTTGTTGCTTTTTAATTCTAATGGGATAATCATATACTTGATAGTCTAAAAGGGTAAATATGGTAAATAAGTTTTAATATGAATCGATTTCATTATCTGGTTCTATAAATAGGAACAAGTAAAACTAGTCTACTTTTACAGATACACGGTAGGAGAGTATGTTTAACCATATAAAAAAATATACTCAGTAGTAAGCGCAACCATGCACCTCACACCCCGCTTGCTCAATTTTACTCAGTGGATTGTTGTTACTGTTGCCAATGTAAGCACAATTGTGTAGGAAATCATCTATACTTATGGGAGTTAAAACAACAACAACAACAACCCAGTTGAATCCCACGAGAGTAGGGTTTGTTGGGTGTGTGTACGCAGACATTGCCCCTATTGGAAAGTAGGGAGGCTGTTTCCCAGAGACCCCTGGCTCAAGAAACACTAGGGGCAGTAAAAGTGTGGAATAAAAATTAGAAGTTTAAAAGTTGAGATAAAAAATAGAGTTTATACACATATGTATATATGTTTTCATAAACAAAGTGTGTTTGTATGTGTCATGATCCTTTTTGTGTTTGTGTGTGTGTATATATATATTTGTGTGTGTGTGCGCGTAAAATTAAAGAAAACCATGAGAGTACACATCCGGGGAAAAAATACAATAATATGAAGAAGAATCAGCAAAAAACTAGTAAAGAACAAAGAAGGAATATACATTAAAGGTAAAGCCTATGGGGCAGCTTTTCAAATAAGAAGCCTAGTGATGTAAGCTCATCATCCAATATAAAGTTCTTGCTATAATTTTTGGACCAAATCCACTCTTGAATCTAATTTTTGGATCAAAATCCTGATGCCGTGGGTGCTGTGCTTCTTATCCTCATGTTTGGCTTCATTGTAAGCTTTGCAGATTGACCAAGCAACAATACCTGGAATAACTGCCCTAAGAATACCTTTAATAAAGGTTTGGTTGGAGGATAACCACCATTCAATTGCATGTTGAGTAATAGTGCTGCTATCACTTGCATAAGCATTAAAAGTAGCTGCTAGTTCATGCCAAATAGGGATAATCTTGCTGCACTTAAAACGTCTGTGATCTTGAGACTCCTCTTGCCTCCCACAGAAACATCATTTAGTATTAAGGTGAAAGTTCAACTTCCTCAGTTCTGGAAAGGGAAGGGCTTTGTTCCACAATTCCCAAGAGAAGGTTCTGATTTTTGGTAGTTGATATTTATGTCGAATGGCTTTGTTCCAAAGTTTCCGAATGTCCTATTGTGCCAAAAGGGATTTGTTGAACACCTCATCTTCATTGTCTGAGTGCAAAATATAAATCAGGATTTGCATCAAAGGCAGTGGAACACACCATGGAGGTGATGGTTTTATTGTTGTCTAGGGATGCTAAAATAGTTGATTCTTCCTTTGTGAATCTTAAGTATAGGTGGTTGCCTAGGATTTCATCCTCCTCCACCCTAGGCTCAAAGTCATCAATGGCATCCTCAAAAGGTTCCAACAAGACACCAGCTTTGTCACTCAATGTTTGTCTATACGATGATATGGCATTGGCATCTATGTCTAGAACTTCATCCACCATAGGATTGGTGTCAATACTGACCTGTGTATATCACAATAGCCTTGCAAGGTGATTTTTTAGGCAATTGATTGGTCGGCTGTCTGCTCAACTAGGGCTTCCACATTTGGCACTGTCCACCCTCCTTGGAATTTTCCCCTTTGTATTTTTTATCCTTGTGAACTGTCTGCCAAGGCTCCTCTTCAACTTTCTTCTCCTTGTCCTTTTCCTTCACTGCATCTTGCTCCTTTAGCTATTTACCAGGATCATCACCTGTGATTTATCTGGTGCAACTTTTATGACCAAGGGTTCTACATGTTTCACAAAAGAAGGGGACTCTTTCATAGGTGCATTTGAAGTGCAAATCCCTGTCCACTTGCCTGACATGTACTATATTCCTCAAGGGCTTGTTTGGTTGAGAGGGAAGGGATGGATGTGAAGGACTGGGAAGGGAGGGGNTCAACTTTCTTCTCCTTGTCCTTTTCCTTCACTGCATCTTGCTGCTTTAACTATTTACCAGGATCATCACCTGTGATTTATCTGGTGCAACTTTTATGACCAAGGGTTCTACATGTTTCACAAAAGAAGGGGACTCTTTCATAGGTGCATTTGAAGTGCAAATCCCTGTCCACTTGCCTGACATGTACTATATTCCTCAAGGGCTTGTTTGGTTGAGAGGGAAGGGATGGATGTGAAGGACTGGGAAGGGAGGGGGAGGGTTTTGTTTTACCTTGTTTGGTTAGGGAAGGGAAGGAAAGCCTCAATTGGACCTCGTCGGAGGAAATGGATCTCAAAGGCTTTTTTTGGACTCTCTTCTTGAATTAGCTTCTTTCACTTACAAAGTTTGCAAGAGGAGTTATCAATTTCCATTGTCAGGAACTTTCCACCAAATTGGAAAACTAAAGTGTAAGATCCGTACTTTGGGAGACAGGAGGCACTGGGGTCCTGCAGCGAAGACTTAAAACATTGACGGTGATGGTAGCCTCTGCGGCATTGTGGTTCTGCAATGAACAAATAAGACAGCGGTGGTGGCCTCTGCGATTTGACATGCAAATGAAAAAGATGGTGGCAGGAGTCTGCAATTAATAAAAAAGGCTCTGGGCTCCTGCGACGAAGACATAAAACATTGACGGTGATGGTAGCCTCTGCCGCATTTTGTTCTGCAATGAACAAATAAGACGGCGGTGGTGGCCTCTGCGATTTGACATGCAAATGAAAAAGATGGTGCCAGGTATCTGCAATTAATAAAAAAGGCTTGTTGTTGGACGAAGGAAACCGCAACACCCCGATTTGGAAGGGGTAGATACAAGGGGAGGGGATGGTTTTGAACTTAAAATTTTCGGTTCCATCCCCTCCAGCCCAACCAAGCAGACTCTTAGGGTTTGGAGACATCAAGCTCAACACATATTCGAGCAGACTGGGGATTGATTAACTTCATTGTCCTATCATCCAGCATTTAAGGATTTCAGAGATTGGAGGCAATGAGATTAATAGCTCTATGATCTTGAAGATGTATACGAAGGTTGTGTATGGTCACCCATATTGGCACAATAGGACATTCGTCTGAGGGGCTGTAATTAGAGTGCCATTTTTGCATCACCATAGTGGTAGATCCAACGTTCCAACCTCTACGAAGCATGAGACACTAGAAATCTATCTCCTTTTCACAGTTGATCACGACCTCCCTAGGAGAAAGAGTGGTGAGGGAGAAATTACCTGATAATCCAATCCTTACAAGAACATCACTGATCAACTTAATTGGTGGCCTTTTGTTAAAACGTCCAACAACGCCAAATTCATATCTTTTAGCCCGAATAGCAATGTCTTTCTCAGTGAAATAAACTGAGGGAACTCCATTATAGAAGAGACCAGATGTTGCTTCTAGGGTTTCTTGATTGCCTGTGAACAACTCTGAGAATAGTTTCTTGATTGATGGCTTTTCCGTTGTTGGAAAACTGTCTCCTCTGCCTTTTCTCTCTCTTTCTATCTTTCTTGGTTTTCGCTTAGTGTGTGTGTCATGATCCTGAGTTGTTTCAAATACAAATCCTGCTCCCGTTCGACTAAGCTGGATTCAGGACAAAATCTCACACTGTATGGATCATGAGTGTTGGGGTTAGGGTTAGGGGTTATTGGGATTGGGATATGGAAATCTTGAATACTGTCCCACCCTATTTCTGATTGCCTGACAAGGAGAAGGGAGCAAAACACTTCCGTGCTTCTTACTGATGTTAAGTGTAATTCTAAGCATTGTTATGTTAGACACTCGGAAGTCTTATATTAAAGCTCTGGCACTAATGATAGGGTGTTATGATCCTGCTGCTGCTTGATATAACTTAAATTTTCGAAGATTTTGGTTTCACTGCACCTCATTTGTAATTTTTTTTCCCTGACATTTTTTGGGCAAGAAACATTGAAAGAGAAAAAAGCCTGCTTTAACAGAGGCACTAACTCAAACACTCCAGGCAATGCACAAGTCTGGTTGCATAAATTTCTCGGATATTGTTGAAGGTAGATCTTTGCTCAAAATGTGTGAATCATACCTCAGGTGATTACCCAAGGAAGCATGTAAAATGCCATAAAATGAGAAATATATTGCACTATGTTGTCTATGTTGCTAACTAACCCCACCATTTTGGGTACGGTCTACAACTTTTATTGACAGAACATCCCTATATTTATACTTTTCACACATTATCTCTTTTGTTTAGGTAAGGTAAATGAGATTTTTTTTCATTCACAAAACACAACCATAATGACAGAAGGGAGTTAGTTCATTAATTAGTAGCGCAACAATAACATTAGCATAGTGCCTCAAAGGCTCCTGCGCATTGCGGAGTGGGGGGGGTAGATGTACGCAGCCTGACCCCCTATGTTTAAAACACGGCTGTTTCCGGATGACCATGATGAGTGTCGAAAGTTGCATTGATTAATTGCTACTTCATTATTCAAAGAAGCGCAAACAGTATAGAGAGCCATTTTGCTTATTCCATCATTCCCCAAAGCAAAAAAAAAAATAGCGAATCTTTAACTAGTAGTGTGATATGCTTTTCATTTTTGTCAAAAATGAAAAATGCATATTTTGTGAGTGCAAAATACAGTACTTGCAATCAAATATGGTGTATTCATCCCCATTTTTACCATTCTTCTTGGTTTGTCAATCATTTTTCTTGGTATAAAGTTTGTTTGAACTAGAGAATTGACATTATTGCAGATATTAAGGCAGCCACAAAAAACAAAGTTCCACTTGTTCGATCTTTGACATTGAACTGGCTCACAGTTTGTATTGAAACAAGCAGCAAGGCTATTATTCTCAAAGCTCATAAGGAGTATGTTCCAAATTGTATGGAGGTGAGATGTTTTTTCAAATGATATTTCGCTGGTTGTATACTCCCCCGTCCTGAAATAAAGTTACCTATTCTCGTTTTTTCCCGTCTGAAAATAAAGCTCACATTTCAATTTTAACACACAAACTACCCTAAATACCCCTTACCCAATCACTCCCTTTTCTTTCTCTCGGACTCCCCCTTCTTTCTCAATTCTCGGCATTCCACAATCTTCACCCTTTTCTTCTCTCTCTCTTCCTCCCCCCATCTTCTTGTTCTTTTTCTTCTTTTTCCTCCATCTTGTCAATCAGATATGTGCTTGCTTCTTTTCTCTCCTCCCCCCTCTTTTTCTTCTTCTTCCTCCTCTTATGTCTTCTCTGTCTCCCAAATTTGGAAGATTTGGCTCGGGGCTCGGGGATGACAGATTTGGCAGATTTGGCTCGGGGATGACGACG